CACACCCCAACTTCTGTGTGGATGCTGCTTCTCAAGCGTGCAGAGCAAACACCGTGTGTGCCCCGTGAGCCATCTCCCCAGCCCTATACCTAGCTGTTCTATTTCGTTATGATCTGCTTTCTTGTTGTAAAATGTGATGCCTGGGCTTTGTATTGTGTATCTCAGTCCACTTTTATTCAAAGTTTCTTTTCCCTTTATCCTACAAGTCATGTTGGATTTTTAAAAAAATCAAATGTGGCCAGGTATTGGTGGTGTACACCTTTAATCCCAGCACTCGGGAGGCAGAGGCAGGTGGATCCCTTTGAGTATGAGACCAGGCTGGTCTGCCAAGTGGGTTCCAGGACAGGCTCCAAAACAATACAGAGAAACCCTGTCTCAAAAAACCAAAAAAAAAAAAAACCCCAAAAAAACCAATCAAATGTGTATACAGTGTTTATGTAATTGTATAAATACTGATCATATATAAACTGTTTTGACTACATGAAAAAAGCTTACTCCAGTGGTGATGAAAACGACTTGCTGGGCAGGAGCCCTTACATATAGGTGACTTTGGCAAATTGTCCTGTGTTGTCTAAGCCGTCAGGAGTTGGCATTTGACCCTTCCATTTCAGACTCAAGCACATGTTTTACAATGTCTGTCAAACCCTGTCTTGGGTCAGGCTGGCCTCCTGACTCTGACAAGGGAAAGAGACCAAAACCGCCTGAGAGGTAAAGGCACTGTCCCTGTAGGGACAGCTAATGGGAAAACTACTTCCGACACACGTTACTGTTATTTATCTCATAATACAGAGAAGTCTTCAGCAAAAAATGATGGCTACAAAAGCAGATGCTAACCCCCGACTCTGTGGCCTGGAAACAGCTTGCAGTGACTGTTGAGCTGCGAGCACCCTTCCCCCATCCTGGAGCTGGGCTGGTAACATTCCGTAGAGAAATTTTGGAAGTTACTCTCCACTTGGAAGCACACTTTTGAGTTTTTAAAGCACCGTTATCTCTTTCTCCTTCCCTTGTCTCTCCTGCAACCCTGAGAGAGACCTCATACTTAATCTGGAGACTCTAACAGCAACATACTGACTCTGCTTCCTTGAGTTGAGGCTGTGGAATTCCTTCCTGAGTTGAGACTGGAATTCCTTCTTGTTTCTTAGTTTGCTGTTTTTGGGCCTACCTGCCATGACCATGGGTACAGTCTCCTGTCCGTGGCACACGTTTCCACAGAGGGCCAAGCAGATGGTGGTGGTCTGTGCTGCAGCCTGGGGTCATTTTGAGGCCTGTGGCCAGGCTGTCACCAGGGACCATGTTGATAAAGGAGGCATGAACTGCCACCAGAGAACACAATGAGGTCCTGGTCCTTGCTGCCACCTGAGGCCACATCTGTGTCTGAGGCCTTGCTGGAGTGTGTGCTGGTGGTCACGGTCCCGGTTGCTACCAGGGCCCACGTGGAAGTCGGTGGTCTGCACTGCCTCCCGAAGCCACGTTGATGTCTGTAGGCTGTGCTGCCACAGGGGACCACACTGAGTGGCCGGCCATCTTGGTGTCCCAGGTCCAGGCAGCCTCTGAGGGCCTTATCCAATCCCACTGAACCCTCAAGGTATCACTGCACCCCTTTTAAACAAAGTTATGGTTTTTTTTGTTTATGCTTTGTGACTCGTAGGATAAATTGGCAGTTGTAAGACAAGCTGCTGGGGGGGGCGCGCTGCTGGGCCCAATGCCTGCTGTCTGTTTCTGCCTTGTCTCTCCAGGCCTGTTTAACCTGAGGTAGAGCCCACCACCCAAACTCATATGCTCCACATATGTCTGCTTTTGTTTCTGCATGATCTAGATGGAACAGTTTATCTCCCAGAGATCCCTGTGTCACATTTCCTTTTCACAATAAAAATTACTAACTATATTTATAAATTATAGAAAGTCTTAACAATTAACAGTCAAAATTTGGTTTCTCATGTATCTTATGAATGATTGGGTTTATATAGATTGGCTACATGTGATCATGGCTTGTACAGCAAGGTAAAAACCTTCTGTGTGGCAAAGGACAGTGTCATCTAGCAAATCAGCAGTTCACTGAATGGGATACAGTGAATGGGATATAGTTAGGATATACAAAGAACTAAAAAACCTAAACATGAAGAAACAAAACCCAACTAAAAAATGGGATCTAGAACTAAGCAGAGTTCTCAAAAGATGAAACACAATTGTCTGAGAGGGACAATGAAATATTATTCATCTATTAAGAAAGATGAAAGCTGTGGGTAAATCGATGGGGCTATAAAGTCAGACTGAGATAACCTCCAAAATAAATATTGCATGTTTTTTATTATATGTAGACATTAACCTTTATATGCTTAAAAAAAGAACCCCTTTACACATGCTACCAATCAAATAACCACAGAGATTATGCACCTAGTAAGGGACAGGTGGAGAAGGGGATCTTACAAGGAGGGGCAACAGGATATGCTGTTATGGAGTGATAAAGGGGAGACTAGAATCTCAGGGTTAGATGGGGAGCAGGGTACAGGAGGAGGCCATGTGGGGAGGGACAACTAACACTCAGGCATTTAGAAAGTCATACGGGAACCTCCTAATGCAGCAGCTTCCTAAGACATGCATGTAGGAAAGGAATCTCCTGAGGCTACCACATCTGGGTGAGTCAACACCCCAAGTAGACATCATGTGATACCATGTAAAACCCAGAGTGCCAGGAATGCATCTCTGAGTCATTGGCCAAAGGGTCCCGAAGAGCCCCCCACCCCACCCCCATCGTCACAAGCTATTGCCTAAGGCGTCAGTTCCTCTCCACAACCTGATTGATGGTAAGGCACTACTGCTGAAGATTACACTTCAGTCATCGCACTTAGAGAAGCTGAGCTGCTACCTAACTAGACTGAGCAGTCCAAACGGGAGAAGGGATTTAGCAGTGAAAACACCCTGGGGCCTTGGAATTGCTTAAGAGGAAAGATGTTAGGTTTCTACTTAAAGTGTATGTTAAAGCAGTAAAAGAAATGTTTAAAAATACAGAATGCATTACTTGAAGTTGTGAAAAAAAAAAGTCAGGAAAAGAAAAAAGCACACACAATTCAAACATGCCATTCCTATTCATGGTAAATCTTTTATTGTGAGGGTTCTATCCCCTCTGTGTGTGTGTGTGTGTGTGTGTGTGTGTGTGTGTGTGTGTGTGCATGTGTGTTTTACAGGGAATTAAACCTGAACATCCTTCATATATGCTAGGTAAGAGCCCTGTGCAGACCTCAGCCCTTTCTTTCCTTTTATTTTGAAACTGTCACTAAATCATCATGGCTCTCCTTGCTCAGCCTCTCCTCCCAAGCAGCTGGGATTGGGAGAGCATGTCACTAGACCCCACTTCCTGTAGGCTTATCTCTCAACCGTCCTTTTTACAGGATCCCTTACTGTCTCCAAATTGGCTGGTTTGCTTTTTCCAGGCATTCCAGAAACACCATGCCTAGGAACCCTGCAGAGCAGGAGACAGTCTTCGTTTTGAGATTCTATTAACATACAGGTCACAAATGTAAATGCCAAACTTGGGAAATACAGGGAATAGTTTCAAATTCTCATCAGAGTTAAATGGTTTTTGTTTTTATTACGGTTGTCCTCACGGTGCTCTCTCTTTTCTAAAGTCCACACTTCACCAGTCCCAGATGGCACTTTCAACTTTGTCTTTCCACCCCTACACATCTAGGTCTGGAGCTGCCGAGGTTAGCACCATGTGATCCACAGTCACCAGCCAACCATTCCAGATCATTTGTGCTGTTTTTTTCTCTGTATTACCATTAGGACAGTCCAGGTACTCTGTATGACTGTTCACACTACAACCCAGCCAGAGGAGACTCAGATCCTCATCAACCTAGTTTCCAGGTAATTTTCATTTTCAGTACCGTGGAATTTCTCCATTTCAATGGCAGCCTCTGTAAAGTTATGTTATAAATAAGGCTAGATAGCTCGCTTATTCTTATTAAATAGTAAGTATTACTATTTATTATTTTATTACTTTTACTATTTATTATTTATATGGCACTATAATGTGCTGAAGGGGTTCTGCAACGCATGGCCGTCTCCACCAACCACCCTCCAGCTTGGGTTTGCTGTAGGGAGGCCCTGTTTCTCTAACCTTGGAAGGTTCTAGAACTCTCTCGGCAGGCCTAGCTCATTTCTGTAAAAAGCCTACAAGAGAAACACTCCCGTTACAACCTAAACTCCATGCGGGAAGAAATATGTCCTATGTGCGCCACTGCGTCCGCTGGGCCTGAAAATTCAGGCGCCCTATTTATGAGGGGGGGCGGAAGGAAAGAAAAGACACAGGCGGGGCTGCCAAGGCGGCCTGTGAGCGTCCCACCACCGGACTCCTCCTCCTCCACGTGGCAGGAGGGCGGCGAGGGGACAGCCAGGCGATGCCTGAGCCTCGCGGCTGCCTCCCATCTCCATGGCTTTGTGTGAGCAGCGGGGCAGCTCTCGGGCGGACGACCCTCAACAACCCTTGGCCGTCAAGGCGCCATTTTGTGGCCATGAACTAAATAGATGGTTTCCAAATGAAATGGAGCTCCGCTCCGCAGGTAGCGTGTTTTGGGGGTCTCGGGACATGCTTCTAGGGTGACAGAGTTCACGGGGACACATTTCTGGGGTGACACGATTCTGGGGTGACTGAGTCCACGGGGACACGATTCTGGGGTGACTGAGTCCACGGGACACGATTCTGGGGTGACTGAGTCCGCGGGGACACGATTCTGGGGTGACTCAGTCCGCAGGGACACGATTCTGGGGTGATTGAGTCCGCGGGGACACATTTCCGGGGCGGCCTGAGTCCTCAGTGTGGGCCCGAGTGGATGCGGCCTAGCCCGTCGCGCATGCCCCGTGCGCACCCCTCACGCACCCGGGTGGACGACGTGGGTCCCCCGGCCCCCCCTGCGTGGGCCGAGCGCCGCCGCCCATTGGCTGAGGCCCACCACGCGGCCCGCCACGCACGGCCACGCACGGCCACCCCGGGGCCGCAGCCCGCCATGCCTCAGTGAGTCGGCGACCGCGGCCTGGTTCGCTTCGGGCTCCGCCGTCTCCGCGGCCTCCGCCTCTCCTGCGCCGCCAGCGCCGCCGCCTCGGCTCCCTGCCTGCCCGTTGGAGGCCCCGCGGCCACCGCAGCTCCCCGCAGCCGCCCCCGCCGCCAGCCGCAGCTCCGCCTCCACCTCGAGGCTTCTCACCCGAGCTCGGCCGCCATCATGGTGAGTCGAGGGCAGGCCAGGGGGCCGCCGCCAGGGAGGCCGAGGCCGCGCCCCGACGGACGGAGGGTGGGTGGCGCGGAGAAGGGGTGCAGGGCAGAAGCCGGGCTCCCTCGGACGTCCGGCTCCGGGCCTCGCCCCGACCCCGCCGGCTTTGCGGCCTCCGGGCGCAGAGGGGCGGCTGCGACATGGCGGAAGGCCCTCGGGCTGCCCCGGGTGGGCCGCGTGCACGGCCTGGGCGTCGCGCGACGCCTTTCCCGCCTTTGGGCCGCCCCGCCCCCGCCCGGCCAGGGCTTCCGGGGCGGGGCTCCGCCACCAGGTGGCGCTCGGCTGCCTCCCGCCCGGTGGAGTCCCAGCGGCAAACGCCGGCCGCTCGAGGCGGCGCCCCCTGCAGGCCGCCATTGGCGAGGCCCCGTCCGCAGGGGGGCCTCAGGGCCGCGGGCGGGTGGAGGCTCTGCGCAGGCGCGTGAGTGCGTGCGTGCAGCGTGTGCGTGGGGGGAGGAGCCGGCGGCCCGAACAGGAGCACAGCTCTGCTGGCACCCCAGCACCGAGATTTCCGGCTCCATCTAATCGCGAGCCTGTTATCCCGAGGCGCATACCCATTCATACATGTTTTCCCGTTTGAGGGGTGAACGGAGAGAAGCTGTGTAACTCACGAGGAGCAGTAAAATTAAGTGGGGCAGTTGGATGCAAATATTTGGAATGTGAAGTTAGTAGCTGTCCATCTCAGTAATTGAAATCGCGCCATCATAGGTAATACTGTAGACGGTTTCCCATACTACCAGAGCTAGAAATTTGGTGGCTGCAGGCTATCTTGGCCAATGTCTGTAACATATACATGGCAGTTTGCTGAGCATGGCGATTTAATTAAATTTCGCTGACTTTATCCTAAAATTTTCAGTAACAGCAGTCTCAGCTCCTAGCTGGTTTTGACGTGTGCGTGGGTATTGAAGTGCTGTGGAGAGTTTGTGTGTGATAACTCCACGTTCATCGTTGGTATCCAGTAGTTCTCAATTCAGAATCCACAGTTCATTCACAGGCAGAATTGATAAACTGTCCTAATAGTTTGTTTTTAGTATGTTGTATTATATCCTATCGATGGATATCACACTCTACCAGGCTCAGTGTATTTTCAGGCTAACCTTCCAGGCCAACCTTGGCGACATGAGACACTGTCTTTAAAATTAAGTACTCACACTAAGGAGGCAGAGGCAGGTGGGACTCCATGAGTTTGAGGGCATCCACATCTACATAGGAAGCTTCAGGCCACCAGTTACATAGCAAGACCCAGTCTCTAAGTAAATAAAGTTTAGAAATTAAACCGTCTTGAAATTGATTATTAGGTTGTAGAGTGGTTTAGTCATGTTTAAAATGTAATGAAAGCATCTACCGATTATGGGTGTTTTAGATCATAACAGCATATGAAGCATGCAGGAGGCAGGCTCTGCCTGTGGTTTAGAGCTTGTTAAAATGGAGTACTTTGCTGTGTTAGCTTTGAGTGCCACCTACTGGAATAGGACCAGGATATGATGCACCTTCCTAAATGTAATACATTATTGCACTATTAAGATGAGAGGAACTTTATGCCTAATCCTAATTAGGCAGGAAGCGTATGTCCAAATCAGTGTCCTATAATATCTGATGCTTTATTTTCCTTCTTATTAAATTGTCCTCAAACGTCCATTTTACTTTTGTGTAAAGAAAACAATTAGAAGACATTTGAGATCTTTTCTAGTTTCAGTCAAGGAAAAAAAAAATCAAGATCCTGGAAACAGTTGCTTTATTGAACAATGAAAAAATCGAGTTCTTCCCCAACAGTTATTTTCCTCTTCAGTTCTAATAATACTATACGTAACAGGGTTTCCAGCCCATCCTTATATAGGTTTTGGTTCCAGCAATACTTCGTGTGTGTGGGTGTGGGTGTGGGTGTGGGTGCTGTTGTTGGCATTGTGGGATTGTGAAGTAGAATCCCTGCCTGCCTACCTATCAGATGTCAGAAGTTTACCTCACTGGTGATACCTAGAAATGTCTCTATAAATAATAAGTTCCCCTGTAGCACTGAGAACGAGTGCATTTAGAACTTCTTAGACTTTGACACAGTTAGCTGGTAAAATAGTACACCTCTAAATTAAACAGCATCGTATATTGTGCTACAGATACCAGTAATAAAAATTATCAAACTGTCCTATGTTCATTCATGAAAGGGAAAATTGAGAAAAATTACGAAACCACTCTTCCTATGTTTTCAGTTTATTTTCCAATGAAAAAATTAGAAGGATGGATTATCTGTTAGGAGAGCAAATGTTGTCAAGTTCTGAATACCTGAAGGTACATAGCATATGTAGTAATCCCACTTAGAAAAAAATTGTAAGGCATCAGCAGAAGGAAAAAACTTTAAAGATAATCTTTTTGCTCCCTGCCATTTCACTGTCATGAAATATCACTGTTTAAGGGAATTTACTGTTCAAAGGAATAAGGTTATTCTTAAGAACACAAAATATAAGTTTAAGTGGATAAAAACAAAGGGTGATTTGACAATAAATTAAATTTATTTCATTTCCAAAATTTGTATAAAATTAACTTCTTAAAAGTAAATTGGCACCTTTAACTTTTTACTATATATAATACATGAATAATATAATACTATCATTCCCTTAAAATCTTTAGTATTACCCTATTAATCAGTTTCGTAAATGAATTTTGAGTGGATGTATCATAGTAGTTCATTAAAGTTCCAGTAGTTGTTAATAAAGTGCTTGTAAAAAGTCAGCTGTGATAGTAAAAAATTTTTTAAATCCTTTTCTAATAATCATTAAAATACATTCAAATACAGGGCACTAACTCAAATTAGCATGCTACTTTATAGTTTACAAGATGAGTTCAGCAATGTTAGTCATTCTCAGAGTAATTTGCCCAGGGATAAACTTCAGCAGGTATGCAATTTACAACTTAGTGTAAGGTACATGAATCTAGGTATCTTGACTAAGTCAGTGCTTTGCTGAATTGCCTCTACTATACACACATTCCCAGTAAGTTCTGCTTTAGGAAAATTCATATTAACCAATTAGAGTCTATTATATGAAGATTGGAAACAGTGTCAATCAAAATCCAGGAAAAAAGCAGTTGTATGTATAGGCTTCTTCATTTGAAAACAAAAGATGGTATTATTTCTATTAACCATCCAACCATGAAAATTTAAAGTTGCCAGTGGGGATGGCCTGGTGTTATTCAAGAAACCAGTGCCATTTCAAAACATGCGTAAAAAATGACAGTATTAGGGAAGAGGAAAATATGATGACAGTAATACTTTCATAGCCAGCTTATTCCTAAACTCAGGCGTACTATGGGAGTATTAAAGTTAATAAAATTTATGTTAATTTGATAATAGACAAAGTAAAATGACTTATATAAGAGATACTTTTTGTTTGGGGTTTTAAACAGCTGCCTTGTTTATTTTGTTTTTTATATGCTTTTGATTTTAACATACCCAGTAAAATGAAAGTTTTATTAGTGTATCCATAATTATTTTAGTAATTTCAGTCTTCCTAGATCTGAACTTTTCATCTAGTTCATCAAAATACAATATTTTCATATATTGTATGAAATAAAGTTGCTATTGTTTCACAATGTAGTATGAAAGATAACATGAGGGGTTCAAGAGGTGGCTCAATGGATAATAGCACTTTTGCTATTCTTGGAACAGGACCTGCATGCCAGCTCAAAATTGTAACTTCAGTTCCAGGAAATCCAGCTTCCTCTTTGGCTTCTGCAGGCACTAGGCATGCACATGGTGCACATACATGCAAGCAGGCAAAACAACACACGCAGAATAAAAAAGGTGTTACCTTAGTTGGTGTTCTAGTGTGGAGAGATCACAGCAACTGTATAGAAGAAAGCATTTCACTGGGCCTTGCTTCACAGTTTGAGAGGTTAGTGCATCATCGTGACAGCACGTAAGGCGCACTCAGGCAGAAGTGGTGCAGCAGAAGCAGCAGAGAATCCCACATCTGTCCACAGGGATCTCTCAAAGCCAACTCCAAGCTAGGCAGTGGTGGCAGAGGCAGATCTCTGAGATTGAGGCTAACTTGGTCTACAGAGTAAGGACAGCAAAGGCTACACAGAGAAACCATGTCTCAGAAAACAAAAACAAAAAAAGGCCCAACAAGGCCACACCTTTTTTTTTTTAATGATAACCAAGGATTGAAATCTGTGAGCTATGGGAGCCATTCTTATTCAGATGATCATACATTTGAAACTAAGAAGCTTCGTATTTCAGAAAGTACTATATCCTTTTGTTTAATATCCACACAGTTCTCTGCTAAAGGCTTTATTTTAAGTCCTGAAGCTAATCTGTTATTGGTGGGTAAGTTAGAGTAACACTGATTTATGTTGAGTACAAAAGGTATGTTTTACCTATGTTTGTGGTGTGTGTGTGTTTTAATTGTCTGTTTTCTAAATTACAGTCTGCTACAACTCCTGAGAATCCAAATTCAGCTGTCTCCAGGGAGGCCAGCACCCAGTCCTCATCAGCAGCTACCAGTCAAGGATATGTTTTGCCAGAAGGCAAAATCATGCCAAACACTGTTTTTGTTGGTGGAATTGATGTTAGGGTATTGTATTCATATTCTGTTTATACTTTATTAAAATACATTGTAAAGCCAGGTGGTATTTGGGTGGAAGTGGTGGGAGGGGTGCTTGAGCCTAGGACTCCAAAAGGAGCCCTGGCAACATATTTGAGAGGTTCAATAAGTTTTAATTATTTGAAATGTTGTGGGTGATGGGATTTGATGTGTAGATCTAAAAGAGTTTTTCATTGTTTTAAATTTTATGCAGGTTTGGTTTTTAACACACAGAGATTAAAAATATACTCAACAAAGTAGAATAATTTAGAGATACCAGAGATTGACTGGTACATGATCAAATCTCTCTTCACAATTCAATTAGAAGTCTTGAATGCTTTATTTTTACTCTTGAAGTTAATTTATTTTCATAGATGGATGAAACCGAAATCAGGAGTTTCTTTGCCAGATATGGCTCAGTGAAGGAAGTGAAGATAATCACTGATCGAACTGGTGTGTCAAAGGGGTATGTAAACATACTTGCTATAGCTACTGTTTATAGAACTACCCATGACTGGCTGGAGAGATGCCTGAGGGACAGACAAGACTCAGAGTGAGCAGTCTACCATTAATAAAATTGTCAGCTTTTGATAATTTATTTTATGGCTAAAGGTTTTTTTTATCAGTTCTTTTACTTAGTCATTTTCCTAGTATTTGTATTTCAGTATTTTCTATCTTTATTTCCCACAAATGATTTATCAAATAATTTTCTTTGCACATTTCACAGTATCTTAAATTTTAGCTGTCTTGCTCAAGATAATCTTTGTTAGTTAATGTTAATACTAGCACATTCTGACATATTAGACCAAGAAAACAAAGTGTGTTTATAGAGGCTCTGTTATCTGTCTCAGCATGTTTATCACAGTATATTCATCATCCATTATCACCACTTCTGCTATTTTATAGAATGTTAGAAGGTCTAAACCAGGTTACTATGTGGTTATCATTTTGTATTTCATTTATCTGCCTTTCTAGCTATGGATTTGTTTCATTTTATAATGACGTGGATGTGCAGAAGATAGTAGAAGTAAGTAATAGTCTTCAGAGAACTCTTCTTTAGCAATGCTGTAGAGTTGAAAAGTGCTGAATATTCAGTCTTATATAAAATACAGAGAAAAATGGGCTTCCTTTCTGTTTAAAATCAAAATATTCTTATGTATTGACAGAACCTGCTTGCTTGGGGACCTCTAGCTTTATCAACTAGAGACAGGAATGGGATGAACGATTTTACTAAATTTAACTTGCTGCTTTGGGACACTTTGATTAGAATTGTAAGGCTGAGCACAGTAGTATTTGCCCAAGTCTTGGAAATGAAGGATTAAATTATTGTTTGTTACTGTTTTTAGTCACAGATAAATTTCCATGGTAAAAAGCTGAAACTGGGCCCTGCAATCAGGAAACAAAATTTATGTGAGTAAAAGCAGAAATTGTACTTGATGAAACTGCTTAGGTTTTCAGAGAACTTTAGTTTTGCTCTTTTTATTTTTTTAAAGGTGCTTATCATGTGCAGCCACGTCCTTTGATTTTTAATCCTCCTCCACCACCACAGTTTCCGAGTGTTTGGAGTAGTCCAAATGCTGAGACATACATGCAGCCTCCAACCATGATGAATCCTATAACTCAGTATGTTCAGGTAAAAACACCTGCATTTTTGTTCTTAGGTTTAATAGTCTTCTGGAACTTTGAAATCATGTGTGGTTTTGGATGTTAAGTGTAATACAGTCCAGTCCTTATTGGAATACTTAAAATATGAGGAATTTGTTCCTTTTCTTTATACTCTCTCACTCTTAGTGGTTTTTCCCTTATGCTAAGCTGAACTCTGGCTCTGTGTAGTTTGTAAGCCATATTAAATGTTCCTATTACTCCACAGGTCTGTATTTCAGACACATAGAAAAAGTATATATAGAAGAATTTTACTAATTACCTTTTCCTTTCCTGGCAAAAAGAGTCAAGCTGAAAAAGTTCTTTAAATGTTCAGAAACAGCTTTGTTATGTCCTTTTAGTTAGATGATTCTTTCCAAAGATGATCAGTTCATCTGTGTTTACTTGTAGTGATTTCCAAATGCATCCTCATGTATAGATTGTTGACACCTGGGTTGATTTAGTTCTAGAATTGGTAGGTTTTATCTATAAATCATATGTTTCTTGAATTTTATTTGAGGTGGGTAAATTTTATGCTTACTATGCCTATTGAGGCTAGATAACATTCTTGGTACAATTTTATTTTTTCACTTTGAGAGACTTTTTGGCCAGAAAAGAAAAAATAATAAAATTCTCCTATATATTTTTTCTGTGTGTGTGAAATAGACTGTATCTTTTCTTATTTTCCTGACTCCAAATGTGACTTAGAAGAAAATCCGTACTTATTCCTAACATTTACTGTGACTCATTGCTGATACAAGGCATACTTTTTTTTTCAGTCAGTGGATATTGAAGTATAGAAAAACAATGATTTAATCCCTTCTCCGGTTTCAGATAATAATTCCCTTTTAGAAATCAAACACAGAAAAATCATAAGACTGTAGAAAAATGAGATTATCTGTTCTGTTCACCTTCCTATGAGTAGAGTATTTTCATAAAGTAACAAAAGGTGTAAGTATTCAACTCCGCATAGAACTATATGTATAGTCAGGATACAGTGACTTCCTAAGGTGGCATGGAGAAGCAGTCACTTAACACTGTCTTTTCCTCCTTCCTGTGCATCAGGTTATCATTTGAAAAGGAGTATTTTCTTCATAAAGCCAGTCATTTAGACTCATAAGTTGCTATATATAAAAAAGAGAAACGTTACATTTGTTGTTGTATTGTGACTGATACTCATTTTCTCAAATTTATTTTATTGATCTAATTTTTCTGTGAACTTTATTTGCAGGCTTACCCTCCTTATCCAAGTTCACCAGTTCAGGTCATCACTGGATATCAGCTGCCTGTTTATAATTATCAGGTATTTTTCCCTTTAATTTAAAATGTGTTTTTTCTCACATAGCATATATCCTGATGATGGTCTCTTCTTTCTGTACTCCTCACAGCTCCTGCCCCCCTATACAGATCCACTCACTACAAACAGGCTTCTATGGTGTCTTAGTGTTCATTCTGTGAAGAGACACCATGACCACAGCAGTCCTTACAAAAGAAAGTGTTTAACTGGGGCTGGCTTACTTATTTGTAGAGTTTTAGCCCATTCTTAGCATGGTGGCATGCAGGAGAGTTAGCTGAGAGTTCTATATCTGGATCCAGAAACAGCAGGAAGAGAGAACCCCTGGGACTGGCATGGACTTTTAAAAACCTCAAGGTCCACCCCCAGAGACACACTTCTTCCAACAAGGTCATACCACTTAGTCCTTTCAAATAATGCCATTCCTTGGTGCCCAAGTATTCAAGGATATAGGCCTATGGAGCCGTTCTCATTCAGTCCACCACAAAAGGGGTAACTAGTGTAAGAAGAGAAAAACTACCTAACAAAATTGAACTTGGGGGTGGGGGAAAGAAAGGAGTAGCGCCCCAGAGGCCCTGTGAGTTCTGCCTCAGTCCCTGTGAGTTTTACATGAGCTTTGATCATGATGATTCAGAGGGCCTTGTTCTCCTGGTGTCCTCCATCTCCTTTGGTTACACTCTTTCTGTCTGCTCTTCTGCAGGGTTCCCTGAGCCCTGAGGGGGGAGGAATTTGAATTATCAGATAATTTAAGGGACTGTAAAGTAACTTTGGAATATTATTATGGTTTGTATATGAAATTGCTACATAGTGTGCTATTTAACCTATATAAATTAAACGAAAGCAGAATTAGTCTATAATTCAGGCAACAATATTATTTAGAGATAAGTATTTTGATAAGGAAAAACAAACTGCTTACAAAGACTCAGTATCTACTGTTCTTGTTTCAACATGCATTTTTCCCAAATACCTGAAAAGTTCAAGCTGAAATTACAAGTTTTTTATAGGATAGGTTGAAATACAAATACTCCCAGTGCTTATTAGCACAGCAAATTCTGACAATAGTGTATAATTTTTGTTAGATGCTATAAAATAGTAGTTCCATGAATTTCTTCTAGTAGATGTGATCATATTAATCCATAGCTGTAGTAATAATTTCCAAGTTTCACTGTCTTTAAATTTTCCTGAATGCCAGCTTCCAATTGAGAAAATGTGAGGTTTATATATGGAAGAAACTGCATAGATGATAGAGAATAAATGTACCTATCTTTGGTTCTGTTTTATAATAAGAAATCAAGAGTCAGCATGATAACATTGTCTTATCACCTCTTTTGTAAAAATGTGTAGGTGTTTAAATAATCTGTGTTTCCTTTTCTTAAGATGCCACCGCAGTGGCCGGCTGGGGAACAGAGGAGTTATGTTATACCTCCGGTAAAACGAATTAGCTGAACATACTCTGCTTAGTCTTAGACTTTTTCTAATGTATTTTTCCATATTGCATATGTCTATTAATATTTTAATTGTCTATTTATATTATTATTATATTTGTTATCGCAGTTATAGACATGAGAGAGAAACTGCTTTTTATTTTTTACATTATTTTTGTATGCACAATCAATGTCTGCTTCATATACAATAAGTTTTGGTTACTTGTTCACATGATGTATATGTCAAGGAAACTAGTATTAAGTATTGGATTCATAGTTAGCATTTGATCTTCTTGGAATCTGCCTCTGAGTTTGCAACTAAAATAAAATAATACAGGAGAGAAACAAATATTTTACCATTAATATTATAAAGGGAATAAAAGGTGATGATACCTGTCACCCTAGCTTCTGTTAACTAACTTCCATAAAAATTGGATATTTGAAAAATATGCCAATAGAATTATGGAGTATTCCATGTTACTAAATGTTACAGTTACTTCAGCTAATATTGATGTTGGCAGAAAACTTTTTTTTTAAAGAAAAGACTTAATATCAGCCATTTAGTTCAAAACGGTTTCCGAAATAGCAGCTTAGCCTTTTGAAGAATGACTTAAAACTGTATTGTGTTTCTTGTTGGTTACACTTTTTTATCATTTTAAATATAGGCTTATGCAGCTGTTAACTACCACTGCAATGAAGTTGATTCAGGAGCTGAAGTTTTGCCAAATGAATGTTCAGTTCATGAAGCTACTCCAGCCTCTGGAAATGGCCCACAAAAGGCAAATATCTAATTTTGTTTACTGGCTTTTATATTCAGTTTCCTATTACATTTTATACTAATAATGATTCTTTGAGTAGACCTATTTACCCAGATTTAAAAATGAAAGTTAAAACCTGCAGAGCTTAGGAAAATTAACTCTGCAATTAATATACAAGATAATACTATCTCAGATACTCCAAACTTTGAGTTTCTGATTCCTTTGTCATATCCTCTCTTCTAAGTACTTTTTTCTTAAATCATATTTTGGTTACTCTTCTATAGTATGACTTAGTAGAACTCAGTGACCACGTGTCTACAATCAGTATGAATTATATTTGCCGTGTCTTTTATAGTTTAACATTTTTATTTAAATAATATGTATTTATGGTATTCTGTGATATACATGGCTTTAGCTTTTAAAATAGTGCTTATTTGATACTGAACTAGACAGTCATTTCTTTAATTATAGTCCCACCCCAAAATTTTAACTCATATTGTTGAATGAATAATTCAATTGAAATGTTGGGAATGTGTGCAATGAAAGATTTCACTGGACAGATCCCCCATCTGTGTGTGTTAGTGAGAGAAAAAAGCTGCTGAGCAATAGGACAGGGTAACAAATTGCCTGATTTCATGCACAGTCTTAAAATTTGAAAACAAGGGCCCAGTGATGTACAACTGTAATCCTAGCATTTTGGAGGTAGAGAGGTAGAAAGAAAATGAGTTCAAAACTAGCCTTGGCTACATAACCAATTTGAGGAGGAAAGCCTAGGGTTACCATAAGACTGCCTCAAAAAAACTTCACACACATAAATATACATATAAAATTAAAATAGCTTACTGTACAATTATACTAACAGATATCACCCTGAATACTTGTTTTTGAAATATTAAAACTCTTGATTCCTTCTGTAATAGGAAAAATAAATGCTTCAAGCAATATACACAATTTTAATAAGTATATAAATATTTAAATTTTCTAAGATACTGAAACATTAATTTAGGAAGACTACATATAAAATAAACAATTAGTGGTAAGAATTTGGCATTATGAAAGATTCTCTTAGAAATGTATATGCTCAGTTTACTTTCAAAAAGCCACTAGCAGTGAGTAAAAGATGTAGTCTTTAAACTTCTGTTTCAGAAGTCTGTGGACCGAAGCATACAGACAGTGGTCTCTTGTCTATTTAATCCTGAGAACAGACTGAGAAACTCTCTTGTTACTCAAGATGATTACTTCAAGGTAGGAGAAGAATAGTATACCGAATAAAATGCATGTGTGTTAACATTGAAACATTTTTTGTCTTGTGGTGCATATATTTTACAGTGATTGATTCAAGTGTTTACTATAACCCTGGTAAGCCATTATGGTGGTTGAGTTTACCCAGAAGTGTGTTGGATGCTATGTAACCCTTAGAATAATAAGGTTGTCTCTAGGAAAGAGAAGTTCTCAGAAGGTAAACAGTTCATGAGCTGTTAGGCACATGGCTCAGTGAGTAAAGCACTTACTGAGCAAGTATGGATTTGAGCTCAGAATCATATAAATGCCAGGTGGGTTTAGCAGCCTGCCTAGAATTCCAGTCCTCGGAAGCAAAGGCAGGATCCCGAGCAAGCTGTGTAGCTAGCTTAGCTGATATCATGATCTCTGGGGTCAGTAAAAAGTAGAAAGCAATCAGGGAGACTCAAGATGCTAACTTACACAGGTATGCACACACACACTGAACACACCACACAAATATACATATAAGGAAATGGGAAAGTAATATAAAGGGCTCATTCATGAGAGTTGGCAGATAAAATAATAACTTGACCACACAGTAGAAGAAAAATTTGAAAGCAGAATGTAACTCATAGCTATTGGACTAAAGAGAACAAACGAACTGCTTGGTTAATATAGTCTAACATTGTGAAGAATGAAAAGGGATAAAACTGAGGAGGTTGAAACATGCTTTACTGCTGAGCTATTCTTCAGTCTCAAGACTTTTTACAGATTAAAATGAGGATGAGTAGAACACAGTTGCTAAGGTCCCTTTAGTTTTAAGGCTGAATATGAAGTCTGTTAATTGGTTAGTCCAGTGGAGAGAATATTACATTTGAGGGAAGATTATTTTGAAATAATAGGTAAATGATAGGTGTCTAATGTGGCTATCATACAATTCACTTGTTTATATAATGCCATGGATTTTTAGTGTATTTACTTAATTGTACAACCATAAGTCAAGGTGTCTTAGCTGTCCCAGAATAACCCTCTTGTCTACTAGTAGTCAGTCTCCATTCTAGCCTTTAACCTTAGGCAGCCAGTGAACCTACCATGTGTGTTTGCAACTTAGGGAGTAAAAAACTCCTTTAAAATTGTTTAATTTTTTTCTACATGGTGTAATATATAACTGCAGTAGTCAGTTTGTCCCAAAGTTCAAAGGTGTTAAATGACTTGTTTGAAAAGTCTTCAAAATTGAGTATTTACTTGGTGATACAAAGAAAGAAAACTTCCCTTTGAACTCCAGAGGTTTCTGCCCCCTAGTTAGGAATCAGAAATTAGTAGAGTGGCCTGCTGTCGTCCGTTAAGTGTTGAGGGGGTTGCACATGCATGCATGTGCATGTGGTCACGCATAAGTTAGATGTGTATGGAGGCCCATAGATGTTGGGGTTCTTGGGATCCCAAGATCTTGTCCTCCTGATTATAGAGCAAGCACATGGAGTCAGACATACTGTTATAAACAACTAAGTGCGGATTTTATTGAAATTGGATGTACTGTTTATTTCCATCATAAATCCCATTATTTGTTTTAACTTCAGCCCTATAATTTTAATTCCTACTTCACCTCTAAAAACGTGATCACTTTTCTAGGCCCCAACCTAAGGGGGATGTTACCTATTGGGAGGCTAAATGTGTACCTGTGTACATGTGAGGGTGCTTGTGGCAGTCAGAAGTAGACTTAGTGTCTCAGCACATTATTTTTGAAACAGGGTCTTCCACTAAATCTGGAGCTTGTCTGTTTGACTAGGCTGTAGGGATTTGCCTGTTTCTGGTTCTACTCTTCAGGGCTGTGATTATATAGTGCACCTTTAGTTCCAGCCTTTTAAGGGACCTGAACTCATGTTCCCAGGCTTTACCAAATGAGTCACTTTTCCAGCCACATAAAAGTCATTCTCTTTACATATTGCAGTCTGGTCCCCAGGAAAAAGGCATGATTACGCTAGCTGTGCAGAAAATAAAATACCATTTTATTAATACCATTTCTCTTTTAAGGCTTCTCTTCTCTATATGTATATCTCTGAAGCAACAGAGGAAAGGAATTATGTCTGAATACATCAGTCTTCAGTATCCATGCGTTCTACCTTTAAATTCAATTATATGCATATATTTTAAATTATACTGAACATGTACAGACTTTTTGTTTATATTGCTCACAATGCAGTAAAACTTCCCATATAAGGTAGAACAATGAGTAATTTAAAGTATGCAGAAAGATTGCCAGTATATGTGCAAACACATAATTTTATATAAGAGATAGGAGCAATCCTTAGGTTTCCATATCCATGGGGAAGAGTGTTCCTAGGACCAATCCCCTTGAAAAACATTTTAAATTTCCTTTCCTTCATTTCATAAAGAATGATAACATCTTCACAGATTAAAGATAAGCCTTGAATATACAAGTTGTAGAGCTTTTAATCAAAATGAAGGATTTCAAATTTAAATAGAGTGCTACTCTCAAATATGGTTTCTGTCAGATGCAATTGTTAGTAAAAACAATAGGTAGGTGTTTGTTTTTGTTGCTTGAGGAGGGTTTTAGTTTTCTCTCTTTTAATTGTATGCTGATGCTTTGCCTGTGTGTACATCTGTACTACCTATGTGTCTGGTCCTCTGGAACTAGAGTTAACAGTTTGTGAGATGAAACATGGGTGTACTGGAAGTCCAGCCCACATCCTCTGGAAGAATAAGTACTCTTAACCACCAGACCATTTTCTCCAGATCCAAGCCTTGGGGTTACTTTGTTGTTTTGTTGAATGGTTTTTCTTTTAATTTGGATGGCAAGATGGTTCAGGGGGTAAAGGCTTTTGCCATCAAGCCTGATGACCTATGTTAACCCCTGAAACCTGTATATAGTATAGGAGAGAAACTGACCCTCAAAATGGTCCTCTTGGCCTCCACATATGGGCCATGGCACATAGGCATGCTTACATGCTTGTACACACAAATTCCAGTGACAATTTTTAATTGATACTTTTGAGAATCACATTTTCCACTAGCTTTGGTTCATTAGTTATCTAAAATGGTACTGATTTTAATCCCTATTTCTGAGTTTACTGGGGTTCCTTTTTAATTTTGTCATTTAATAGAGCCTTACCAGTGGTGAATTTACTGTTTTAGAGTTCCACCAAAAGCTCCCCTTTTCCTATGTTTAGATTTAAACTATACATTAATTATTTAATAATCTTAGATCAGTAGTGGTAGTAAGGAATTTTCAGTGATTTACAATGATTTTTTTGGTCTCTTCTAGGATAAAAGAGTGCATCACTTTAGAAGAAGCCGGGCAGTGCTTAAATCTGATCACCTCTGCTAACTTTCTAGTCTCAGGAGGGTGTTGGTGTTGAGTATTAAGAGACAGAAATGTTTTCACTATTGCAGAAATTTTGGCAAATCACACTCATACTTTATATACAAGTTAGATTAGATTGCCTAGTTTTATGTTGAATCTGTTCATTAGATGTTTATATAGAAACTGTTTTGCGTTCACTATATAGTTGAAAAATAATTGCAAGTATAAAAGGATAAAAAATAATTTTCAAATAATTGAAAAATAGTTAAAAGGAATAACTTTTAAGACTTAAGGACTTTTAATTGAAATTGGCATTTTAAGAGTTCAAAAGCAAGTACTAATTTTCAAGAAAAATATTTTATAAAACTATTTTGAAAGGTCAGAATTTTGATAGTTTGACTACAAGCATTTCACTTCTCAACAGGTACCTGAACAGTACAGTATTGTGCTTCACATTTATTATTTGTCTAAACATTTGCCACAAGAGCAGAATTTTTAGAACTGCATTTTTAATCAGTGGAACTCAACATATCGTTAGCTTTATTGAAGTCTTCCTTATCTAAACCCAGGAAAACAGATTCTTAACAGTCCAATCAGTGGGTCTTACATTTATACAAAATATTTTACCCTTTAGCTAGAAGCCACATATATGCACATATCCTGTTTATTTGGTTGGGATGGTAATTAGGATATCTAAAATTCTGGGTATAATTTTGTTTAAAGAATCCAAGACAAACTAAACTTTGCTAGGTGTATAAGCTATTTTCAGTGAGTTAATACTCTCATTTTCTTAAAATGCTAATTAAACTCAATGGCTGTCTTAAAATTGTGCAAAATACTGGTATTAAAGAGTGCTGAAAATTTTTTATGTCACTTAAAATTTAATCAGAGTATCTGAAAGAAATTTTTATAAAAACATTCAAAGTATAAGTTGTTACAAAGTAAATAGATCCTTAGTTTTATTAGTCAGTTGTATTTCCTTTTGTAAAGTAAAATATGTCCAAAACAGTCAAAGTAGGTAATTTTGACATTTCTAAACCACAAAATTTGTTTTGTAATTGTATCCCAAGAATGTGGTAGTTAATCTGATTTTAGATTAGATGGTGTCTTCATTGGACATTATACATCTTGACAGCAGAAACCCTTTGTGCCCACAGTCATTTGTAATCTGTACTCCCATTCTGTCAGAATTGTTCCATGGTATAAAGTAGGCAAGTAACAGTTATGAGCTGTTCAGGGGCTAAGCCTTACGAATGTAGCACTGGGACAGTACCTTTCTAAAGGAAACAATTGGATGGACATTATCTGACCTGCCATGGACATGAGTTTTAAAATGCCTTGTATTAGTCCTCCCCTTAAACATAGAGATTGCACTTAACCATAATTTACTGGAACCACCATGGGTTGTGACCTATAACTCTTAATTTTATTCTGTATCTGAATAACAAAATATTTTTAAGTTACCAAGGTCAGTATACCAGAAAACTAGAAAGTGTCCTGAAATTTGTTCTTTTATCTGTCCCTTGTTTATTTCAGTATATTTGTATTTTTTATGTGCGTTATATTCTTACATGTACCACTCTGTGATTAAATCTCCAGCTTACTATGAATGATACCCTAAATTCTAAAAACAATTGTAATTATTGCTGTATGGCTTTAAGGAAAAGTAAGGGAATAAACTTTCATCTGCTGTTTTGTTGGAGTCAAGAGAAGAGAGAAAGTACTGAACCTTTCAAAATGGAAGATTAATTTTAAACTTAAAAGTATGTTCCTATTACCTATTGCTGATACTGTCTTTGCATAAATGAATAAAGCTTTTTTCAAAAATACTACTTATTGTCATGTCTCTAGAAATGATGGGAAAATTTGGTGGACAATGATAATTGAATCTTTACAATTAAAAATTGTAAATAGCTGCTTGCTAAGTTAGCAACTACTTTATAAAATTTTGAGACATTTTCTTAAGTATATATGTGTATATATACATATATCTACACATACTTTCACATGTATGTACATGCCCTAGTCACTGTTAATTGCTGTAAAGAGGCACCTTTTGTTTTTAAAACATTTTATTCTTTGTGGATTTCACATCATGCAACCTGGTCCTGTCCATCTCCCTGTCCTTTCCTATCTGCCCTCTGCCCTTGCAATCTTCCCCACCTCCAAAAGATCTTGTCATACAAGTTGCAATGCGACACAGTGAGTCACACAGTGTACCCTTTAGTCCATACCCAAGTGTTCACTGCAATTACTCATTGGTCTGGTGTGAGGCTGTTGTTGGGCCCTCACTGGGAATCCTTGGATATCCTGTTTGCATGTGTCATGGAGATCCTGCAGGTTTGGATCTCTAGCACAGACCTCTAATGAGGTGGATGTTGGGGTGGGCCAACTCAGCCCTGGTTTGGGGCTTGGGTGGTAGGTAGGTAGTTAGGGTGTTCCGCCTGCCAGCTTTCCAGCACCTCTGTGGCTAACTCACTGTGCAGCAAGGGGCAGGACTGGTTCTGCTCACATGCCATGGGGTGCCCAGGTGAGGTGCAGGGACCACTTAAGGATGCTGCCGGTGAAGGCAGGCAGGGCCGTTTCTCCCACTCTTCCTCCCCCCCCCCCACATGCACACACTAGGCAAGCACTCTTGCCTGTTGCACATGGTGAAGCGAAAGGGGGAAGAAGGCATCTTTCCCTCACCCATACCACCACCTGGTAGGTGAGGGGGTGGGGCCAGCTCTTCTACTCTCATGCCCGCCAACAGGGTCAGCTCTTCTGTGCTGCCCAGGCCAGGTTCAGGGCCTGCTCTCTTGAATGCTGCAGTTGGTGAGGAGCAGGGGTGTCAGTGCTCCCTCCTGCAGGTGGTGAGGGAAAGGGCATCTTCCCCTCGACGAAGCCACCACCTGGCAGGTGAGGGGCAGGGCCAGCTCACCTGCACCCTGGCTGGCCAACAGCTGGTGTTCTTTCCTTTCCGCCCAGGACAGGCAGTCCCAGGTGGGTGTTAGAAAGCATTTAATGGGCTCTTGCTTCATTGTCAGAGGCCTAGTCCATTATCTTGGCAGAGAGCATGGCATCATGCAGGCAGGCATAGTCCTGGAGAAGTAGCTGAGAACTACTGATCTGCTACCAGAGAAAGCTTTGACATTTCAAAACCACACCGTCCCCAATGGCAAGGCCATACCTCCTAATCCTGCTCAAACATTACAGCAGCTAGGAACTAGACTTTCAAATGTATCAGCCTATGGAGTCCTTTTTGTTTTTTGTTTTAGTTTTTTGGAACAGGGTTTCTTTGTGTATCCTTGGCTATCCTGGAACTAGCGCTCTAGACAAGGCTGGTTAGAATTCACAGAAATCCACCTGCCTTAAAGGCATGTGCCATCTCAGTCTGGCTATGGGGTCTATTCTTACTCAAACAACCACACTCATATTTTTATGAGAAAAATACTATGTGGAGTCAAAAATAATTTATAGTAGTTTTCATTGCAGTGCATAGCCAGTGGTCCCTGTTGGGAATGCTGAAGCACACATCTGACTTTAGTCACTTGGGTGAGGTTCTCTCACTTTATGCGAAACGGAATGTTTTTGTTGCCCCTTTTGGGACTGATCTCTTCGACTCTTGTTTATGTTTGCAGATATCCTAGAGATTCACATTTGCTTCACACCAAAGTGTGTCCAAAGCAATTTTCTCATATCTCTGCAATGTAAAATATACTCAACTGCCCTGGTAGTTTGAAAACACTTGTAAAAGTACATTGAGAAGATCAGTACTCAACACCATCTCCATTTCTAGTTCTAGCATTTTGAGTTCCATAAAAAGAAGCTGCAGGTGCAGGAATTCTTGAAGGTAACTGGTATATTTTAACAGCTGAGACTCTAATAGAAAATTATGACTCCAGGGCTATACAGGATACAAAGGAGTGGCTACGGGGGATCATCAAAGATTAAAATTGATACTTAGTCTTAATTGCTGAAATTAGAGTTCATTTTATTTCTTTTTTTAAGTTTCAAACAAGCTCGTTGCACATGTCAATCCCAACTCCCTCTCCTCCTCCCTGTCCTCCCCATCAGGCTCCCCAGCCCCCACCCAATCTCCACTCTGATCCCCAGGGAGGGTGAGGCCATCCATGGGGGATCTCCAGAGTCTGTCATTTCATCCAGGGCAGGGCCTAGGACCTTCCCCAAGAGTCCAGGCTGAGAGAGCATCCCTCAATATGGGATGGGCACTCAAAAGTCTATTTGTACACCAGGGATAAATACTACCCAAGGCCCCATAGATTACCTAGGCTTCCTCACTGACACCACATTCAGGGGGTCTGGGTCAGTCCCCTGCTTTCCACACAGCCATCAATCTGGAGTCCAAGAGCTCCCCCTCGTTCAGGTCAACTGTTTCTGTGGGTTCAACCAGCCCAGTCTTAACTCCTCTTCAGTTCTCCCTTTCTGTCACTGGATTCCAGTTTACTTCAGTGTTTAGCTGTGGATGTCAGCCTCTGATTCCATCAGTCACTGGATGTTGGCACTCCCCTGATCCATGTCTAAAATCTATATATGAGTGAGTACATACCATGTTTCTCTTTTTGTGACTGGGTTACCTCACTCAGGATGGTTTCTTCTAGTGCCATCCATTTGCCTGCAAATTTCAAGATTCCATTGTTTTTTTCTGCTGAATAGTACTCCATTGGGTAAATGTACCACATTTTCTCTATCCACTCCTCAGTTGTGGGGCATCTAGGTTGCTTCCAAGTTCTGGCTATTACAAATAATGCTGCTATGAACATAGTGGAACAGACATCCTTGTATGGATGGGCATCTTTTGGATATTTACCTAGGAGTGGAATTGCTGGGTCTTGTGGTAGACTGATTCCAATTTTCCTGAGGGATTTCCATACTGATTTCCAAAGTGGGTGTACAAGTTGGAACTCCCACCAGCAGTGGAGGAGTGTTCCCCTTTCTCCACATCCTCTCCAGCATAAACTGTCATTGGAGTTTTTGATTTTAGTCATTTTGACAGAAGTAAGATGGTATCTCAGAGTTGTTTTGATTTGCATTTCCTGGAGGCTAGGGATATTGAGCACTTTCTCAAGTGTCTCTCAGCTATTTTAGACTCCTCTACTGAGAATTCTCTATTTAGTTCTGTACTCCACTTTTTGATTGGATCCTTTGGTGTTTTGGAGACTTGCTTCTTGAATTCTTTGTACATTTTGGAGATCAACCCTCTGTCAGATGTGAGTTTAGTGAATATCTTTTCCCAATCTGTGGGTTGCCTTTTTGTCTTGCTGACTCTATCTTTTGCCTTACGGAAGCTTCTCAGTGTCTGTGCTACTGGAGTTATGTTCAGGAATCAGTCTCCTGTAACAATTTGTTCAAGAGTACCTCCCACTTTCTCTTCTAACAGGTTCAGTATGGCTGCATTTATGTTGAGGTCTTTGATCCAGTTGGACTTAAGTTTTGTGCATGGCAATAGACATGGATCTATCTGCAGTCTTCTACATGCCAGCCTCCAGTTATGCCAGAACCATTTGTTGAAGATGCTTTCTTTTTTCCATTGTATAGTTTTAGCTTCTTTGCCAAAGATCAGGTGTTCATATGTGTATGGGTTAATGTCGGGGTGTTCAATTCGATTCCATTGTTCTACCTGTCTATTTTTGTGCCAATACTAAGCTGATTTCAGGACTATAGCTCTGTAATACAGCTTGAAGTCAGGGATGGTGATGCCTCTGGATGTTGCCTTGCTAAATAGGGTTGTTTTGGCTATCCTGGGTCTTTTGTTTTTCCATATAAAATTGAGAATTGTTCTTTCAAGGACTGTGAAGAATTGTGGTGGGATGTTAATGGGGATTGCATTAAATCTGTAGATTGCTTTCGGTAAGATTGCCATTTTTACTACGTTGATCCTAGCTATCCAAGAGCATGGGAGATCTTTCCATTTTCCGGTGTCTTCTTTAATTTCTTTCTTTAAAGACTCAAAGTTCTTACGATACAGGTCTTTCACTTGTTTAGTTAGCATTCCCCCCCCCAAGGTATTTTATGTTGTTTATAGCTATTGTAAAGGGCGAAGTTTCTCTGATTTCTTTCTCAGCCCTTTTATCGTCTGTATATTGTAGGGCTACTGATTCTCTTGAGTTGATCTTGTATCCTGCCACTTTACTGAAGGAATTTATCAGCTGTAGGAGTTCCCTGGTAGAGTTTTTTGGGTCACTTATGTAAACTATCATATCATCTGCAAATAGTGAAAGTTTGGCCTCTTCCTTTCCAGTTTGTATCCCCTTGATCTCCTTTTGTTGTCCTATTGCTCTAGCTGGAACTTCAAGGACAATATTAAAAAAGTATGGAGAGAGTGGACAGCCTTGACTTCTTCCTGATTTTAGAGGAATCGTGTTGCGTTTGTGTGCATTTATTTTGATGATGGCTGTTGGTTTGCTGTATATAGCTTTTATTATGTTAAGGTATGTTCCTGTTATCCCAGTTCTCTCCAAGACCTTTATCATGAAGGGGTGTTGGATTTTGTCAAAGGATTTTTCAGCATCTAGTGAGAAGATCACGTGATCTTTGTGTCTCAGCTTGTTTATATGGTGGATTACATTGATGCATTTTTGTATGTTGTACCATCCCTGCATCCCTGGAATGAAGCCTACTTGATCATGGTGGATAAATTTTTTGACCATGGTGGATGAGTTTTCTGGTGTGTTCTTAGATCCGATTTGCCAGTATTTTATTGAGTATTTTTGCATCAATGTTCATGAGGGATATTGGTCTGAATTTCTCTTTCTTAGTTGTGTCTTTGTGTGGCTTGGGTATCAAGGTTATTGAAGCCTCGTAGAAAGAGTTTGGCAAAGACCCTTCT